TCTTTCACGTTAGTTTTAGTGTTGTTGTTGTTGTTTTTTGTTAATTTTTTTTTTTTTTTTTTTTTTTTTTTTTTTGTGTCTTTTTTAGAAGTTTTTTTCTCTTTTCGTTACCTTCCCCCCAGCCCCCTTTTTTTTGTTTCTTCTTTTTTTGTTACTTTTTTGGTTTCAATTTTCAAAGCTTGCACGTTCCTTCCTGCATTTTCTGTTTTCAGTGCGTACTCGCAATCGGACCTTTCCTACTAAGATCTGGACGTGATCGCAGTCAGATTCATCCAGGTCTGGATGTAATTGCAGTCAGCTAAATCCACGGAACTGCTAATGTGAGTATGCAGTGCATGCACTTAATGATGATATTTTCTCTTTCCCCGCATTCCACAGCGACGTCGGGGGTACAGAACAATTTGCCTCACCACATATCACAACTTCTCGCAAGTGTTGATGGATGAATCCGGAGCTTGAACAATGTACTACTTATGGCACACAAAAAAACTACACTCCAAGAATACTCAATGGCTCACACACACTGCGCACTCCGCACATCGCACAGCCATGCAGAAAAACATGGTCGCACACGAAAAAAAATGCAGAAAAACAAAGAGAAAAGGAAAAAAAAAAGCAAAAACCTGAAAGAAACAGTATGAAACGCACAAGATTTTTGTAAACAACTTTTGGGCGTGCGGATGCGGTGTGAACGATAAACCGCGAGTACACCCGGGCCTCTTTTTCCGAACCGCCAGCGGTGCACTTTCCGAACTGCAAGCGGGGCACTACTTTTCTTTTTTGGCCGGCCGTGCCAGCCATTGTGGTCTGGTAGGCCCTAGCCGCAAAAACGAAAACGATCTTGTGGCGACAAGATGTTGTGCCGCAAGGCTGGGGCCATCTACTGGTGCTTTAAGGGTCAGATTCCGCGGAAAAGCGGAAAGGCAACTGCCCGGGCCATTTCCTGTGCTTGTTTCCCATTATAGGAACACTCGAGTTTCAAACAACGGGATAAGACAGCCGCCAAGTTTCCAGAGGAATCAGAAGGAAGTACTTTCCATTTGAGGAAAGCACGTACCCTCGTTTCCTGAAAGATCCGATGCAGTCCGGGAAAATTTTGTGGAATGTGTCAGGTAGAGGAGGGAAGACAGGAGGCATCCGGTGAGATAGTCACTGGAGAGGATCACCGAGAAGCGATAGCGATGGAGGAGACTGCGCCCCTCTTCCTGCTAGGTAAACAGACAACAAAGGCACAGAAGGCAAATTCCGTCGTCTCGCCTTGCACGCACACGAGGGTCAAGAGGGCAACCAAGACGGCCACGGAGGTTCAAGCACCGGTTCTCCCCCACGAGGCAAGTAGTTTGAAAGGTTTGCCACATGACATTCCCAAGGCTGTTGAGTTGTGCACAAGGGGACTGACAGTTGTTGAAGAGAAACTCCTACCGTTTGTGAGCTCACTCCAAGAACAGGAAGTCTGTGCTGAGATTGTTGGGATGGAAGGCGAGTACTTCTTTCCAGCAGAGCAAGTGATCGAATCCTCCTCTTCATCGTTGACAAAGACAAACAGGAGGAAATACTGTGTGGATAGAATCCACTTCGGTCTCTTCCCAAAGGACTGGACGAAGAACTCTGAACAAGAATAGAAAAAGAAAAAAGACCGGATGGCTAAATTACCTGTTGGCCTGCAGGGCGCTACGGAAAAAAAAGAAGAAGGTGGTGAAAGTACTTTTTAACCGCAGGCCCCCCTTGACAGGCGACTAGTAACGCAAGGGCTTGGCTGATTTATATCCCTGTTACTATCACACCTTGAGCTCATGCTTGCCAGTGATAAGCAACCAGACTAGTACCGCAAGTAGTTAAGTGCGGTGATTGATGCACGAATGCAAGGGCTGGGGATTCTAGGAACCGGCTGTGTGCGCCTGAGCGCTTCTGCGCCACACAGTCTTGAAATCCTCTCTCGGGTGTTAGGCGATCCGTGGGTCTCTGCAACGCTCCTTCCAGAATTGGATGCAAAACTGCCACACTGGGCAATACTAGAGTCTGTCCATTTCCATCACGTTCGGAGTGGTTGCTCGTCAAGTTCGATCTCATCATCATCTTATCACATGTCACCTTATTTATAAAAAAACAAAAAATTTCGACCTCATCAAGTATGACAGCGGAGGAGAGCGCCGAGACCTGATGAAAAGAGAATCCAGTCGATAGTCGCAGGAAGCCGTACCTAATGGGTAAGTTGAATGCTACAACATCAAACGGTTTTTTTTTTTTTTTTTTTTTTTTTTGCCAACATGGAATGCAAAAGTGGGCTGCAAGACTCTGGGGTAGTAGATGCAAGGCTGGCATGTATGATGATAGGCTGCGAGACTCTGGGGTAGTAGATGCAAGGCTAGCATGTATGATGATAAACTACTGTCTTCACCTGAATAAAACTTTCAAAAAGAGGGAGGCAATCAATGCCGACAGGGGGTCCCTGGGGCGTAACGTGGGGAAACGTTAAGTTGGGTGTGCGTGATTGGCTCAGGGATGCAGGTGACGCCCCCCACAAACAGACGGGATTGTTTGCTTGAGAGGAAAATAATAGAAAAAAGAAAAAAGAGAAGAAGAGAATGCCTGGGCACTATAGCTGTGCATTTGGCGCAACTTTCAGTCCAGATGCGGCGATAACAATCACACCTTCTATTTGGGTGAAGATGGTAGTCCAGATGAGGGAGTGGTGGGACGGCCTCCCCAACCCTGGTCTCCATCTAGGGGAGACTAAAGTGAAGAAGTCATTGTCCGTCATAAGAGGCTCCATAGCAAGTTGTTTCAACTTGCTTGTTTATATTTGTGATTTGTGATTTGTGATTTTTTATTTTTTTGTGATCTTTTGGGACAGTGAGTGTGGAATCAAGTTCCGATTAAGGTGGAGAGGGAGTGGTGGACAGAGAGAGGGATTGCACCACGGTCTATGCTCCCGATGACTGCACTGATAGGATGGATTTTGTGGAGGCTATCTGCAATGACTTGCTGTTTGCTGCATAGGATGGATTTTGTGGAGGCTATCTGCAATGACTTGCTGTTTGCTGCGGTCGGTGACCCGTCGACCCGAGGCTGTAACATAGGTAGGTTAGATTTGTAATTTTGTTTGGTTGACGGCTAACCGAGAGACTTGCATGTAAGGAAAATTCTTGAGGGACATATCTGCAAATTTGGGGAAAATATAGGCCCGCACTAACTAGAATTTCCTACAGCTACTGTAACTGCGACTAGCAGGCCCAGGCTACCCCTAGGACAGACGGGCCCTAAGGACCTAAGCTGATAGACAGTCCTATAGCCTATAGCCAGGTAGGGGAAGGCCCTGGAGGCCGAAACTGAAACGGTACCGGTCAGTCCTACCAGTGTGGTCTTGGTTGTGTCTAGGCTAGGATAGACTATGTATAGTTTTAGAAAAGACTGTTCGAGGCTTTTGGCAGTTGGTACCGTGTACGTCGCTGCTGCGCAACGCGTGAAATGTAGTGGTGACAGCTTCAGCGTTGGAGAGGACAGACATAGCCGGACCTGCGGAGCGTCGGTCATAGCTGGGACCTGCGCTGTACTCTGACAGCACGTGGGGCTGTTCAGAGGTCCAGACTATCTGAAGTCTGCTGGAGGCAAGAGAAGTTGGTGCCCTGCTGAACCCTCTTCAGGAGGAGGGTCTCAGGGTGTTTGGCGCTGCAGCCATAGCTGCAGCTTTCTTCCTCAGAGCTCATCTTTACAGACCAGAACAAGAACCACATAGTACAGGATAGAGTAGCGGAAGGCTAATATACCAATGATCAGACCAATCAATGTCGCAATGCAGAACAAACATACATCATCATCATCGCAAGGTGTGAAGGACCTGGTGCTACACACAGGAAGAAGGCGCCAGGTCCAGACCATACACAGACGAAGAGGAAGGGGGTCAGACGAAGAAGAGGGGGAAGATGGGAATGTCGTCAACACCAAGTCTTCGATACAGGCCCCAAATAATCCCTCGTCCAATGTCTCGATCCCAATGTTGAGTCTGAATCCAAATGTCGTCAAGTCCCAAAGTCACCAATCTCTCTCTCTCTCTCTCTCTCTCTCTCTCTCTCTCTCTCTCTCTCTCGTAGTCTGCAGATACTGAGAAGTCAGGTAGCGAGAGGGTGAGGGAGAGATGGTTAGAAGAGGAGGAAGAAGAACTCTCTCTCTCTCTCAGTCCGGTACTAACCTGTGAAGGTGGCGCCTTGTTGCAGGTACATCGAAGACGAAGCTGGAGCTATGGCGCCATAGGTAACTCTCCCTGGCCTCCGCCAACTCTCTCTCTCTCCAACGCTACTCTAGCTCCTAATAGCGCCCAGCGCTGAAGGCTACTTCTAACGCTACTACTACTACTGCAGCGCTCCTCCGGAGTGCTGCTGCCGAATCCTGAAGACTGCCTCCTGCCTCCTGCCTCCTGCACGTGAAGTGCCCGTGAACTGCCTGGGAAGTCCCTATGAGCTACCTGCAGTCTGCAGATCGACGTTACGAGGGCCTGAAGATGGCCCTCGTTTTCAGGCTTTTAGGCTGAAACGACACAGGGCCTGTAGGGCCCTTATTTTCCGTCTGGTCGGGCCCTGCAGGCCCGTGTGGCTGCGCAGTATGCCACAGGAGAGGTAGCGCTGCTACAGACTTCCACCCGGGAAGTCCTCCGGCACTAGATCATCATCAGATACTGTGGTGCTGGTCTTCTTCTTCAGCCTCTGAGAGGTGCTTGGCCTCAGAGGCCTGTTTCAGGGTGGCGCTCCCCTCTGGAGTCAGTATATGGGTGGCGCTTGATGTTTTAGGGACTCAGGGGTAGTAATAGCGGTTCCTCAGGGTTGGAGAGTGAAGTGCTGCTCACTTCTGTCTGAGCAGCGCAGCATGGTTCTGGGGTTATTCTGACATTTCGAGAATCTGAGTTTTTATAAACAGTGTGTATAGCACTGTATACTGTGGGTGGACTATCACTGCTTCATTGTTTCCTGGATGTGATCTACTCGGCTTTCCTTTGTGACTGGTTGTGCGGACTCTGTGGAGCGAATTTCACTTTCAGTGTTTTCGGTCATATCGCATGGTCAAGTCTTCCGCTGTGGTTTCGTTCATATCGCATGGTCAAGTCTTCCGCTGTGGTTTCGGTCATATCGCATGGTCAAGTCTTCCGCTGTGTTTCTCTCTCCCTGTGCGGTGTGATACTCCCATCCTCTCCCCTTCCTTCTGTGTACGTATGGGCATACCTGGAAGTCTATGTGAGCGAGTGTTGGTCTTCTGACAACAAACAACCAGGATCATAACACTATCCCTGATCATTGTCCTAAATCGGATCACTTTCAGGTGGGTGGTGGTTGGAACATGGTTCATAAACCCAATCTGGACTCGAGAGTAAGGCAATAGAAGAACTAGAAAGGGAACGCGGTGCCTTGATAAGATGCATGCAAGCTTGGGGGCCCACTGGTCTTCGGAGAAATGCACTTTGTTGCTTCTAGCTTTTGCCGCCAAGCTTCGCATCGTTTGTTGATTTGACGACAAACACAGGGACTAAGTGGCAATTGCATGCTTCTCTCTCTCTAGAACTGTTAGTCTGCAAGGTGATGAAAACCATGTACTAGGCCAATGAACCACAATGAGATCATAGGCCCGTTGTCCTTGATTGGGAGCTCGGAGCATTGGGAGAGAGGGGCCTGTAGCCACGTCAGGCCGCGCTTCCAACCCTGGAGGATGAGGGACCGAAAAAAAAAACAATGAAAGAATATCGTCGTATGTCTAATGGTTTGATGTGCGCATCAGGTTTGTATCTCAGAAGTTGGGTGTGTTCGCAATGGGACTTTAGCCATGGTAGGCATATTTCTAGTTTTATTTCTCGTAAATTAATGCAACTGACAGGCTGCATCGTGTGAGTGACCTGCCTTGCAGACCTGGCCTTTTGGTACGATGGAATATCATATATTTAGTGCTTACGAGATTTTAAACCGTGTCAGCGATGTCCTATACCCTTAGCAGCCTTCCAAAGGACCAAGCAGGAGTGTTGGCTGAGGGTCACAGAAGCAGAAAGCAGATTGGACCACCATCCTACAGGCACACTCACACTAGACGTAATTGCAGTCAGATACATCCAGGTCTGGCCTTCATTGGGTCAGATACATAAAGATAGGGCTAGTGTGTGTATGCCCTAAGGAGTGTTGGCTGAGGGTAAAAAAAGCGGAACCCAGAGTGGGCCAGGAGCGGGGTAGCGCAAGCCATGATGCATAGTTCACAATATGTGAGCACCAGTACAACACCAATGCTCAATGCAGAAAAGTTGCCGTCATCTTATTAAAAACAATCAAACGCATCGTCAACACTGAGGCATCAACCAACTCATCTTTGACAGAAAGCTAAACCTGAGGGTCGAAGAAACAGACCTCGGATTAAAGGAACGCAATTGGGCAGGAATTGATGCATAGCCCTCTTGATGGAAAGAGGTATTGAGAAGGTATTTTCAAATTTTAGCAAGCAGGGTCGAGATTATAAGGTCAACCGTAAGTGGTGAGTGCATACAGAATAGTAATATACACAATGTGAAGTCGTAATAATGTCAGAGGGGGAAGGGTAGGACGTAGAAAATGGTACAACTATAGGGTAAGGCACAACTGGTATACCAAGGAGATGCTACTAGTTTTGTGGGTGTTGTTTTCTTTGGTCGAACAAACATTGGCGAGGCTATAGCAGGCTTCGAATCTGCGCTCATCATTTAGATAATCCCCTCATCGAAAAGGGCAATCAATGTTGCTCTCCCAGCAAATGTCAACTCTTCGGCCCCAATGTATTCAACGGGATGCTGGACCCGGTTTCTGGAAGATACAGCTCTCGACCAACAGATTAGACTCTTGAGCCATCAAAACGAGGCGGACCCCATGGTTTGGAGGATGTTGTTATCACCCCCGAAACATCGGGCCACCAACGATGCCTTCGCGGGGGGGAAAATAAAAAGTACCACCCGAAACCCTAAAGAGGACAACGACTTTAACAGGAAAAGAACAAATATGGGCAGTGAATCCAGTGATATGGCAACATACCTGAATGCAGGTTGAAAACGGTGGCGGCATGAAGAATTTGGGAATGGATGAAAACACGCTGAACCGTATCTGTAGAACAGCAGCAATACAACCACCGACAGCAAAGGAGGAAGGAGGAGGGAGGAGGAGGACGAACGGCAGGATAGGCAAGAAAGGATGAGGAAGGAAGGAAGGAAGGGAGGGAGGAGGAGGAGGAGGAGCCGTAGGAGCAGGAGGATGGGCAAGAAAAGGAAGAAAGGAAGGAAGAAGGGAAAGCCCAAAAATACTTGTCAAGAACTCTGTAAAGATTGCATTATACAAGTGAGTCAAAAACAGGTTCCCCCCCCCAAGAAAAACATAGACAAATAAAAGCAGCCCATCCACAAAGAAGTTACAAAGGGTAGTATTCGGTAAATGCAGAAGGTAAGAAAGAAAAGGGTAAGGTGAGACACCGTCCTTCCCTTGCACCAGATGACAAAAACCATCATCCCATTAGAAACGACAGTTGCCCCCATAACAGGTTCTCCCATGAGGCTTTCAATCAGAGTCCTGAAAAGTGTCGTCTCCCACAGATTCAGCTAAACCGCTACAACTGAGCAGTATCCTCAAGCTTTTGTCCTAAGGCTTTTGAAGTTTTGATGGCTGCCATCAATGTGCTGATTAGATCGGTTAAAACCTCCACACAGGAGGGTTTCATTAGCAGCCATCAGCCAGGCATGCCCCCAGTCCACACGTGCTGGACAGGTGAGCAATTGCACCACAGGCAGGGAATAACCGATCTGGAGCATTCCTCAGCTTGGACACGACATCAAAATAGCCACAAGGGAAGCCGTGGAGAGAGGAGAGCTGAGGAGGAGGGAGAAGGGGAAAGAAGTAGAGAGAAGGGAAGAAGAGGAAGGGCGGGCAAGAAGGGGGGAGAAGGCAGGAGAAGAAGGGAGACGACGAGAGGAGGGGAAGAAGGCAAGATGAGGGGGGAGATGGTGTGAGATGGGGGGAGAAGGTGGGGGAGAGCAGGGGGAGAAAGGGCCAGGAAGGGGAAGAAGGAAGGAGAAGGGGCGAGAAAGGGGAAGAGGGGCCGAGAAGGGGGGATAAAGGGGTAGGGGAGCAAGACAGGACACTGCAGGAGTGGATGAGGCGTGGGGAGAAGGGAGGAAAAGGGCCGAGAAGGAGAGGGGCTGAGAAGGGAGGGGGGAGGACATGACACTGCAAGAGAACATGACAAGGGAGATGTGGGAAGAAGGGGAAGAAGGGGATAGAAGGGGCAGAAAGGGGGGAGAGGGGGGTGGTAACCGGGGGGGGGCGCAGAAGGGGGAGTGTGGAAGAGATGTGTGGAGATGGCAGGAGGAGGAGGGAGAAGAGGGGAGAAGGGGCGAGAAGAGGGGAGAGGGATCAAGAAGGGGGTACAAGGGGTTGTGGGAAGGGGACAGGAGACTGCATTTGCTAGAGCTGTGTTGTACCTCTGCATCCACTTCTGCGAACGAATATAGTGTGCCTCGTGCACGGATTTTTCCGCCGACTTTCACGCAAGCAAAAGCTACGAACCCATACAGAAGACTATGTTCCCTTTTGTCCCTTTTCTGAGGCGACACCAGTGCGAAACACACCAAGTGCACAGAGGATCATTTGTTTTCTGTTTCAGAGGCTACATTTCCTCCGCGTTGTCCAACAGGCATTCTTCAAAAGAACCGCCAATGGCGAAACGCTGATAATACAGACCCGAGGGGACAGGCAAACAGCTGAGGGCCGACTGATGGGACAGATGCAAAGTCTAGGAACCGCAGGCTCAGAATCTCAGTACGCTGCAGGCCCCCCAGAATTCACAAAAAAAAAAAAAAAAAACTCAGTATGCTGGGTGGTTGTGCAGGCAGCCTCTTCCTGTCATGCCAACTATTGATGCTGTAGGTTAAACCCCTACCGTCTTCACCCAAATACAAGGTACGGTCATTATTGCTGTATCTAGACTCGAAGTTGCCCCAAATACAGCTATAATGACCGTACCTTGTGTTCGGGCGAAGACGGTAGCACATGGGCCCCGCCTTGCGGAGAATCGTTCATCACCTACTCCGAAAAAGTCGGAGTGGGACGTCGTCAATAAAATACATCGGCGGCAGGCATCAGGTTTCGGCATCTCTGAAAGCGGCCCGCGGCCGATGTATGGCATGTACTGGTGGTTTAAGAAGAGCCATGTTGAAAGGTTAGGCTGAAGCAGCACTCCCGCAAACACCTCCAGACCAACTGCCTGACGAGATCGAAGCCCGAGTTCAGGGACGGACCATCTGGTCAAACCTGCGAGTCCTTAACGCACCAGTACATGAGCACGTGGGGCACAGGCCTGACACCTTGAATTCTGGAAGCGCGAAGCGAAAACGCGACCACCAATCCAGTTTATCAACGACAGGCCCAGCGTTTGACGTTTCCGTCTTGTTTTCTTGTGGCGACAAGTTTCGGACTGCAAGGGTGGTTTAAGGCTAAGGACTTTTACAAGCTACACGGTCTGTGCGTGTATTCATATTTTTGTGTTCTTCTCTTTCTTCCCCGGGCCAATTTGTTCCATAAGCAATGGAAGTTGTGGCCCAGAGGTCCTTCGAGACATCCATTAACATTTGAAGTTTGAACAACGCAGAGAAAATTTCCTAGCATGGCCCCTGCACAAGGATGACACTCATAAATCGAGAAATGGTCCAAATTAATTTCTTAAAAGAAAGGAAAAAAAGTTGGGACCAAGAGATATGCTGGCATATACGTATACCTAAATATCAGCAAGAGTCCTCTCTTAACGTTTACACTATGACCACCACAAACAATTCAGCCCCTGGTGGATATGGTGCTGCATGTGCATCCAATTTTCTCCTATAACCATCACGCCAGGCCTGTGTCTGCAGCCCTACCCTCTTCACCCCAATAGAACGCCCGGTCATTATGGCTGTATCTGGACTGAAAGTTGCACCGAGTACAGCTATAATGACCGGGCGATCTATTTGGGTGCAGACGGTAGGAACCATCAGTTGAGTTGATATACCACAGAGCTTTGAACAACATCCGCCTTATCACCTGGATCAGTACACGTCTTTGCACGTTGATAAATGACACAGATTCCCGACAGATTTACAGACAGGGGGTGAATTAAGCCATACCTACCTCAAGGCAGTATCCAGCTTGTGCACCTCTCTCTCTCTCTCTCTCTCTCTCTCTCTCTCTCTCTCTCTCTCTCTCTGTGTCTGTGTGTCTGTCTGCCAGTCTCTGTTTCTGTCTGCTTCTACGTGTTCTCTCTCTCTCTCTCTCTCTCTCTCTCTCTCTCTCTCTCTCTCTCTCTCTCTCTCTCTCTCTCTCTCTCTCTCTCTCTCTCNTCTCTCTCTCTCTCTCTCTCTCTCTCTCTCTCTCTCTCTCTCTCTCTCTCTCTCTCTCTCTCTCTCTCTCTCTCTCTCTCACTCTGTGTCTGTGTGTCTGTCTGCCAGTCTCTGTTTCTGTCTGCTTCAACGTGTTTTCTCTCTCTCTCTCTCTCTATCTCTCGATGAGAATCAGTCACAGCCTGGCCTTCTTTGGCTTTCCGAAAGGGCCCGAAAATAGTTATAAAAAAAAAAGAATCCCAAAACAATTTTTTTGGGGGATGGGCCTTGAACCTTTTTTTTTTTTTTTTTCAATTCCGGACCGGACGTCCGCCCGGACATCCACACGCGTACGGTTCGGACTGGGCTCCAGACGTCCTTATCGTAACCATGGTGTGAATGGAGTTTGTCTCTAAGGGACAATTGCAATTTAGATCTGCGTTTCACTGCTTCTGATCCTGGACCAGAAATTGCTAGTAGAAAATTCTCTGCTTGGGGGGTGGGGGGGGAACCTTATGGGTTCCTATCTTTTTTTTTTTTTTTGGATCATTTCTCGATTTATGCGTGTCATCTTCGCGCAGGGACCATGCTAATCTTCTCTGTATCGTTCCAATTTTTAATGGATGTCCCGAAGGACAGGGTTCCTATCTTTCTAAATAGTAAATTCAATGAAAGTGCAAAGCAAAGAAAATCAGGCAAATTGTACAAAGGACCTGATAATAGTAAACACTTAAAATTTCACTATTGCTGCACACCCAGAGAACATTGCAAAGGATGATGAGAGAGACGCCATCAACATCGGCGGGTGACCGATTGCCTGCAAGTCTTCCCTAGACTTCTGTAGCTAAACCTGTGGAAAGTTCTCAGACGGCAGGTGTGCGACTTGTCTGCCACACTCAACCCAACACCAGATAACCAAAAATAGAATGTATACACTGAGGTTAGACGCACACCTGATGACGTTCCTTCCACTTTGGGAAGTAGTTGTCTCCCAGCAGCTGGAACAGATGATCTCGCATTTCATCATTTGTGACCAAAAATGCTCCCATTTTAACTGCTGCAAAAAGCCAATACCTGATATCCACCATTGCCACACCAAGCCAAACACGCAGAGCACACGTGCACAAGAAAGAGAGGAAGGGAGTGGCTTGAGAAAGAGAGAGACGCGTTGAACAAAGCACATCATAAATAGTGAGGCCAAGAGTCAGAAGAGAGTTCACGGTTAGAAAGATACAGAGGCACTAATGGATTCTTCATAGCTGCGTTGTCACTGAAGCACAAGACACAAAATGCATGAGACGGCACCATTCCCGAAACCTCACAACCAAAGGCGCTGTGTCACTGAGAACGGAGTTTCGCAGAGAGGGGCAGGTTTAGGGGGGGGGGGGGGGGGGGGGGTAAGCCAGGCCCTAAAAGGAAGCTAGTAGACACACAGTTAAGGGAAGGGATGGTCACAAGAACTTGCAGCAAGTCTAGGGACAATGTGGCAATGTTGGCATCACTCTATGCACCACTCTCCACACGAACTAGCAAGGCGGAAGCCTCATTCTATGGATCTAGGGGTTGGCACAAGGCTGTTGAAACATTTGCGCATTCGCTTCAGCTGCATTGAAATTATCCAAGTTCTCACAGGACTACCTTGCAAACATGCAACGAACAATCACATGACAGTTCACATGTGAGAAGCCAAAGCCGAGATACGATCAACGCATGAAGGAACTGTCACCAGATTATCATTATTAAACAAAATTGTTTATGTCACCAGCGGCTCTGCCGCTCTCGCACTCAGCATCCCCACATCAGCTATGGCTCTGTTCTCTCACTCTCGCTACCTCTCTGTCTTGGCCTTCTCTCTGACTTAAGACTCCGCCTCACATCTCTGTCTCGACCCTAGATCGTAACCCTGGATACACCCACTCAGGTAAGCTTCACACGTGGCGGCTACGGCCGCCCTACTCACTATCGTCTTCTACCCTAGCTATGGAGTAACTCTCAAGCGCCGCCTTCCTCCTTCAGGCCCAAGGTGCCCAAGTTGGCTTAAAGCACATGCAGCAGCAGTGCTTCCACATCTTGCTATTGAACAAGTGATGAGTCGCTGCACTGTAGCAGCCAAATATAAGCCTTGACTTGTCTTGGCCTGCTTCAGACCGGTACCGGTCGACCGCGGCCTGTTTGCTGCAAACATTTTGGTGCTCCGGTATTTTCTGGACTTCTGGGACATGCTGCCTAATTGGACTTGGGACTACTGGACTGCACTGGACTTTTCTTGTCGGGTACAGGGCGGACTCCTACCAACCTACGACGTCCCGGGACCGACGCCTAAAAACCTACAACGCTTCGACCTAGGGACCCTACGACCTATCCTACTGGGACAGCCTGGGACCTGGGTCATCTGGGAGTTGTTTGCGACCCTGGTACCGGGACACGGAGGTGTTTGCAGCGTGAATCCTTTCAGCATCAACTAACTTTGATGTTCAACAGTCCTTCCTAAGATTCTGCTACAATGTCTTATTCCTATCTGTTTTGCTGGCTATGCCACATGCTCATAAAATTAAGTGGAGCTAAGGGATACCTAACTGGACAGCAGCGAGGGAAGCCCTGGGATCCTTGTGTAAATGAAGTGGGGGGGTGTTAAGTAGTCAATGCCGATAAAGTCACTACAAGGAGCAGGAGAAGAGGTGTAAGGGATTTGGCATTAGCCCAGGCAAAGGTTCCATGAAGCTTCTATCACCTGAAGAGATAATAAGCCATCTGGGTCCTCTCATTGACGGCATATGAACAAACTTGTGTGCAAAGAAAACCTTTCAGAAAAGCCAACTTCGGTCGAATAATACCCAACCTCTTTGCCTTTCGGAGCAATCAACGGTGATTGGGAGTTCTTCCATGAAAAGGAAGGAAGCGTGAATATGACAAGGTTGTATTCTTGAGCCTTGCCGGGGGAAAAGTAACCGAAACTGGCGCTCCACAGAACGGATTTGGAGGCAGGACCATAAGGACCTGTATTCCACCCCCGCCCCCCAACCCAAAAAAAAAAACAAAAAAAAAACACTATAGCTAAGGAAGGGGTTATTGGAACAAAGAGTGCACCTCTACCTCAAAAAGCTGTTGAAAACAACCACTCTAAGAGCCTCGTTCGACACCACTTGAAAAAACGAGGAATTGTGAATAAATTTACACTTACTCGATTTATGGTTCCATGTACACTTGAGGAAACCCTTGAACAGGCTGCACTTGAAACCGAACTCCATGGCTTGGCCAATCCTGGACCAGGATCGCCTGCTGGAAAAAAAGGGAAACAAAAAAAAGGCCCCACTTGGAGTGCTGGCGGTATCCGCTGGCACTTGAACTCAAGGCTCCCCAGAGAGGTACCTTGAGTGTAAGTACGATTTTGCCCCGGCCGCACTCGAGGGCGGGCACTTGAGAGCCAGAAAGTAGAAACAACTCTGCGGCGACGTTAGGGTGGGGTCGAACGAAGAATTTTCCTTCAACCATTGGGTTCCAGTGGTGTCAAACGAGGCCCTAATACCTTTCAACCCAGCAACTTTAACGTGCAATCCTGAAGTTACAGCACGCCTGATGCTGGTGCTGATTACATCAGATCCTGCTGCCGCATGTCAGACACCACTGTCTCTTCACACAAAATACAGAAGACAAATGAAATACAGAAAATGAAATACAGACGATGAGACATCAACACAGGGAATGATGCAATACCACAGCTTCCCATCTGGCTTACAGAAAACCGAGGACCAGGCGTAGCCTCCCCAAGATCCCATCCCGCCTTGAGACAGGCAACGTTCACAACGACTCTACAACTGGTTGTGTGAAAAAGAAAAAAGATAAAGAGGAGGAGGGTCGGCAAAGCAGTGCGCAAATGTCTCACTCTCACCCGAAAAGCACTGCAACTTGCCAATCAGGACACAGTGGTGGCTTCTTTTTTTTTGTTATTTTTAAGGAGCAAAAACAAAACACTGACATCTTCATATCAAGACACTTCAGCGCTTTGTTTACTCCTAGAAAAAAACAAAAAAACAAAAACAAAGACACAGCAGCGGTAAGGATGAGTCATCCTCATCATTGGGTCGGCTCGCTGGCGGAAGATGGTACATGCCAGAATGAGCCACCAACCACGGGCAGTAGGCGATGATCACTTGGCCGCAGCCCCGCAAACAAAAGGACCCTAGAAAAGGGGAAAAAAAAAAGGACTCTACAGAAGGAACTAGTTGGCCAAGGAAAGCTACCAAAGAGGGGAAAACAAAAACATGGTTTCAAATTTCACGAGTACGAAAAGATCCTGACCCCTGTACAACAGATTCAGATCCCATGTGCAAACGAGGCGAGAAATTTAAAACCACTGCAAAATGAAACTCGGACAAAATGCCCAAGCGGGCTAGCTCAGTTGGTTGAGCACGTAAGTGGCACTCAGGATGTCATGGGTTCGATTCCCGACGCCGTCTTCCGATTCCCACGGCCTCCTGGGGTGTGCTTTGGGTTCATCAGCAGAGACTGTTGGCTTGGGCCTCCTGGCTGGTTCTGGAAGTAATCAGTTCTTTCCAGCCCTCGCCAGGTGTTAGGAGCTTGGGTACTGCTCCCGGCCAGAGCAGATATAGCTTAGCTCTAGCTAGTAAATTAAACTTCCTATTTCCATAGATAGGGGATGTCTCAGCTAGGTGTGGGTGCTCTTATCACCACACCTAACAGTTCCTGCAGGTTTTGTTAAAAAAAAAAGGTAGGGGATGTCTCTCTCCGATCCGTTGTTAGCTTGGTAGGGCTCGCAGGTAAGGCATTTCCTCAGGGGGGAAAAAAACAAGAAAAAAAAAACGAGACTCTGACAAAATCGTGGACAGCATGTGCAGTGGAAGTCTTTGTGACTGCGCATGCGCAGACCTGTGCTGATTTCCTCTATAACTTGACTGAACTTGACTCTCACATTACTGTCTCCGATATACATGGCTTCCTGTGCCTGACGGCTTTCTAGTCCCTTGAAAAAGTTGAAACACATAACCGTGCACTACCTGCATCCAACTTAAACTCTGTGGGCGACTTCCTACGATATAAGGATGTACCCGCTCCACTGTGAGTGAAGCCATGGCACATCCAACTCTACAGATCCTATTGATATTAGTATTATCAAGTTGGGCAAGGCCCGGTATTTGAGCTGAGCCATGAATTGGTGGTTTAATGACGCTCGTTTGGATGCATTTAGGGAGAGAGGAGGAAGAAGCGGCAGAGGACGGAAGGGGAGAAACACAGAATCAAATAGAGGAGAGACAAATGAGTATGTCTGTGCATGTGTGCTTGTGTGTGTGTGTGTCTACATGTGCGGGCATCGTGTGCCAAATCCCGAAACTCTTCACGGTTGGGTCCATTGACTCCATTCTCATTCATGCTTCAGTCCGAATTTGAAAAAGCAAGTGGTGCCAGGGATGGATTCAGAAAACAGTGTATGGAGGCTCAGGAGAAAGCACAAGCAAATGGTGCTTAGCCCATCCTCATCTCGACTTCGGAAAAAGGAAAATGTCCACACATGGCTGATCCGTAGTTTTAGTCCCCTTTGGGCCATTCGTCGGGAAAAGGAAAGCAGCTCTGCGGCAGCTCTGTTCTGATCCGTTCTATCGGTGCACTCCGGTCCATTCTTCGGGAAAAGGAAAACACTGCTCTGTCAGTCACTCTTTCTTTCAGGGATCAAAAACAGTGAAACAGGAAAGCAGTGACACATGGGTCCATTCTTGCAACATTATTCCTATTTCAGGGGGAAGAAAAAGTGAAAAAGCAAGCAGTGATTGTTCGTTCTTTCAAAGGAAAGCGATTTGTGTGTTCTTTCCGGGGACCGGGAGGGAGGGGCAGGAAAGAAGTAAATGGGTCCCATATGGACACATTCCCGTAACATTTTTCCTCATGAAGGTCCAGTCCTTGGAAGCAGAAAAACTGCATCGCAGAAGCCCATCCTGGTCTACTATTTATTTTCGCAGATGCATGGCACTTTTCCTTCTTTCAGAAAAACGCCGACTTCAGCCGATCCCCCGGCTTTACCACGGCTGTGGCAATCCGAAACAGTGACCACAGCCCGATGA